CCATGTGGAGAGTCATCCGGCGAGAGGTAGGTCGGGGCGCGACCTACATAGATGATCTCTACCGGCTGTACGAACAGCCAGAGGAGGCTACTGCTCCCGGGGGTATAGAGGGATAGATGGGACTAGAAAAGAGAAATGAAAACACGAAGGGCAAGGGAGGCAGTAGGTGGGCGGATTCTGAAGATTGGCTGTAACCCTTTCTATGTGGACTATGCAGGGAATCACCAAGGTAGCAATGGCAGCAAAACGTGAGCGAGTGGAACGCCAGCCCCATGTGCGAATGGAACGCCAGCCCCGGTACCCCGGACTGCCCTGGAACAACGGTGGACAATGGGAAGTATCCCTCCCGTCGAGTTCTACCTATCGGGGGTTCGACATAGAATGGCGGGCCGTGACTTTGGGAAGGGACGCCGCCTTCATGTTGGTAGAATGTCGGTGGACAGGGATGAGACTCAACCGAGGACCCGAAGACGATCTGTTTTCCAATCTGGAAGTTACCGGGACCGTGTATCTGCCTGAGATCGGTTGGCACTCGTTGGGGGTAGAGATAGCACAAGGTCACGAGCTGGCCCCGGTCTTCCGAAGGGCCGCCAGGACGTTGACCCCGATAGGACAATCGGTCAGGGGAAGAAGGAACGTGGGCTTACTTACCCGGGTGGAAATGGGAGGTTGGAGGGAGTTCAGGGCACTGACCACACCGCTGAGATGTCGAGTGCCCCGTTTTATGATAGACCTCGTCTTCGGAAGCCTCGCGAGGGCGCGGGAGCTGGCAAACTCAGCGATAGTCTGGGCAGGCCACTTTCCCTCCCCTACCATTGGGATGTTCTACGATGTCGCTGTGGAGCATGGGCCGTTCTGGGGAAACAGGGCCCACGAATTACTAGAAGTCATCCACATCCTGATGTTTTGTGCGCCCCGGCTAGACTGGACGGGGTGCGAACGTATAATCCAAAGGGAAATTGAGATAGGGGAGAATGATCTAATGGGGGTGGCTCAACTATTCGAGGAGCCTACCGAACCGGAAGGGCCACGAAGGAGCGAACGGGACTAGCACCCGCAGGCGAGCCAGTAGGGCAGATCAAGCACAGTCCGCTACGTTTGAAGGCCACCGACAGAAATAGGAAAGGGGGGGGCCTCGGACCCGGATGATCAATAACCGCTAGACAGGGAACACCGCGCAGGAAAACTTTTTCTAGCAGGTTGCCCAACCCGGACCCCTACGCACCGACCAACGATATAAGGGCGCTCTAAACGAGCCGGTGATAAGGGAAGCTAAGTCACGCCCTTAGCTCGGTGAGGCCGCAGAGCCGGACGCGGCTCCATATTAAGGAAGCCATCAGAAAATGAGAATGGGGAAAAACCTAATTACCAAGTAAAAGGATAAACCAACAGGATTGGAACCTAGGGAACCTAAATGCCTCGCACTGCGTTTGTTCTGGGGAATCCTTTGGTTATGCAAAAGTAGGCAAGTATGGCAACGGAGGATGAGACGGGTAATCATGAAAGCGAGGGTGGACCAGGCTTAGGAGGCAGTGCTGAGCAAAGCAAGGAAGGGAAGAAGGACAGGGAATCAACAAATCCGGATGGCACCAAAGGGAACCAGAAGGAAATGTCCTCAGGAGAGAGCTCGGGAAAAGTCGGGGGAAGCAGACAGGGGACCCAGGAAAACAAGGAGGGCAGGAATAAGGATAGGGCGAGCCTCGGGAACTTGGAGGGAGCTGTGTCTAAGAAAGTAAGGGTCACGGACGCGAGGCACAAACTAGCAGAAATAGAGAAAAGGACCGCGGAATACAAGGCAAGGTTAATTGAGGAAATGATGATTGGGAACGAGAAAGGCCCTCTGCAGGAGGTACCGCGGGACAAACGGAAAACCAGCCGGGGCGGAACTAGGCAAGGGGACAAGGGTAGTGACCGTGGGGGAACGCCGAGCAAAAGAAGGAAAGAGAGAGAGAACTCGCCGGGAATGGAGGCAGAGAAGGCAACGAACCCCTTAGCCACWSACAGTAGGGCTAGYCGTCTGCCGACCTCGCCAGCGGCATCGCGAGGATGCGAAGGGCTCTGGAGCCTCAGAGAAAGGGTGTTGGGATGGTTCGACCCGGAAGGAACGACAAAGACTAGAGGGGGGGTAGAAAGCCAGCAAGGGCGGGCCAGATACCAGCATGGCAGGCGAGGCCAGTAGCTCCGAAGGCGGCCTTAGGAAGATAGTATCATCCCTTACACGAGCACTGAACAAGAACCAAAGCTATCTGGCAAACGCCAAGAAAAAGCTGACTTTCGATGGAGCAAACATCACGGAATTCCTGATCGACTACGAGAACCTAGCTGCGTTACTAAAGTGGACCGAGGAGGAAAAGATGAACCATCTAGGACAGCATGTGTCGTTAAGCCTAGGACGGGACATAATGGTCATTGTAGCAAGACGGTCTTGGAAGGAGACCCGGGATGTGATGATGAGGAAGTACCTAGCGGCAGAGAAAATGGCAACGGAGGCCGACCTAGCGGCAGTTCAGAGGAAGAACTTCGCAACGTACAATGATTTCCTACGGGAATTTACTCTAGTAGCACTAAGGATCCCCGGGGTCACGGACCGGACAAAGACAAGATCCTGTCAGCTTACCAACAGACAAGCAAGTTCGTAAACACGCGGGATGTTGATTTTAGCACGGTAACAGATCTGGCTGAGAAAACGGTAGTAACAGAGACGTTGGCCTTGCTCAAGGAAGGAGAGATCATAGATCTCACCGGTAGGACGGGCGACAAGGTAAAGAAGGGGATTGAAAGTCTACATGAACGGGTGCACGGGGTCGACAATAAGATTGAAAGGCTGGAAGGCGCGCTACTGGTTATGCAGGCGCAAGTATCACGACCCGCCCTCCCTCCCCAGGAAGCTGTGGTTCCGCCAGGTGTAGGCAACCGGGGATTCGGACGGAGAGATCCTGCTAACGAGCAATGCAAGTACTGTACCGCGATAGGACATTATGTGCGCACGGGCCCAAAGCTCAACCATGATATTCTGAAAAGAAGGTGTACCAGGTCATTAAAAGGGGAGATATTTGGACCACAAGGGGAACGGGTGAACTGGAACTCGCCAGGAGGGATGCGGCGAGCCATTATCATGCTCAACGGGTTAGAAATAACGGTCGTAGAAGCCGAACCGGTGGGCGAGATCATCTGGGATCAACTCCGGGGGTGCGGGCCGCAGGCCAACTTTATTTTGGAAAATGACGGACATGATAGGGTGAACGCAACCACTCGACTGGGAACGACCGGGAGAAGGATTAACCGTGACACCATTATGGAGGAGGTCGCCAGAAGCTCCGAACCCCAGGCAGAGCCTGAGGCCGAGGAACCAAGGAAGTGTTCGAAAGTACAAGCCGGTAGGGAAGAAAGCAAAACCGGTCTCGATCCTACTAGAGACATCAAAGGAAGAGGCTATCGAGGTCCTTCAAGTGATCCGAGAAAGAAGGGCAACGGAGGGACATCGAATACCACATGAGATGGCTGACACAATGAAGATAGGGACATACGGGTTCTTAACGGAAGAAGAAACCCGCCTGATCAAAAGGACCTGCCAGGAGTTTCACCTGGCATTTGCCTTTAGTGATCACCAGAAGGGACGACTGGATGCGAAGTTGATCCCTCCGGTCAGAATCCACACGGTAGAACATGAGTGCTGGAATGACAAGGGGCCATCCTATGAATTTGGGATAGCAGGAGAAGTAACAGACCTCCTCCGAGCAAAGATGGACTCCTTCGTTGCGGAGCCTACGGCATCGCCATACGCAAATCGGTGGTTCGTCTTTCAGAAGCCTAACAAGACACTAAGGTGGATTCAGGACCTGCAGAAGTTGAATGTGGTAACCATCCGGGATGCTGGCTCGCTACCTAAGGCTGACTTATTAGCAGAATCGCACGCCGGTCGGAGCATTTACTCTCTGATAGATCTGTACTCAGGGTACGACCAGCTTCCGTTGGATGTTCGGGACAGGTCATACACCGCTATGCACACCCCCGTAGGCCAACTACAGATGCAAGTGACCCCTATGGGATTCACAAACGCGGTGGCCGAAGTGCAACGCAAGATGCTCGTTGTGGTCGGGGACATGTTCCCAGAAAAATGTGAGCCTTACATCGATGACAATCCGATCAAAGGCGCGCAGGAGAAGGACGAGACGGAAGTCCAGCCAGGGATCCGAGGTTTTGTGTGGGACCACTTGCAGGACATCAAGGACTTACTCCACCGGTTCCTAGTATACAACATTACGGCTAGTGGACCAAAGATTATCCTAGCAGTACCGGAGGTAACTACACTAGGATTTCGTTGCGGTGCTTACGGCAGGAAGCCGGATCCGGCAAAGACCGACAAGATATCACAGTGGCCGACACCGCTGCGCACGGCGACGGAGGTAAGGGCATTCCTAGGCGTAGTCGGCTTTTGGAGGATCTTTATTAAGAACTTTGCCAAGATTGTTGAGCCTATCCGGGCTATGATCAGGGAAGAAGGAACCATGGATTGGACGGAGGAGCGAGAAGGAGTTGTCCAAAGGCTCAAGGAC